GATGGATTCGAGTATTCCGTAACTGGATTCGTCTATAGGTTATACCAAACCCTGGCAAGGGTATGCCAAGATAGATCTTGACGAGTTCTATCGATTCCACTATTTACTTTATTCCCAACCCCTTTGTTAAGCATCAAATGATTCGATTCTCTCTAGAAAAGAAAAATCAAACTATATTCATAAAATTAAAAAACGTTCCTAAAAACAAATACCAAGAATATAACTTCAAATTCTTTTTTCAAAAGAACTGCCAATAAATCGTTAATTAATCGCGATATTTGAAGAACAATGATACAGTAGGTATTAGTTGACAAAATAAATGATACTCTTCGTTTTATTTAGATTAATAGCAATGGACACTTCTGTCATTATGAGAAAAGTTAATGCAAGCACGACAATAAACGACGTCGCATATAAAAGTTTGCCATAGTAGTTATTCTCGTCGTAGATTTTCTAGAGAAGTACTCAAAGTAGCATGGAAGAATAGTTTAAGATCGGATCTTTCACACACAATCAAAATTGTAGCCAATTGTCTTTTTTTGAAGGAATATGTGAAGCTACTATGCTAGTTTTTCGAATTAAGTTTTTTCATGGTTACGTACAACTGCACTTCAATAAATAGATGACCGTTTTTTCAGAGATTTTTGAGATATTGAGCTTGTCATCATTTTTCTCCCCGTAAAATGTAAGAATTTAAAAAACCCTGCTAGCATAGCCCTTTGGAGTTAAAATGTGAAACTCATTTTTTCTTGATCCTCATCATTACTAGTAGAGGTTACCTTAAGTGAAAAGTCTACAGCAAACTATAGTTCAACGTCTTTCTCCGTTTCTACAGAACTTTGGAAACGTACTCGAATCATTCTCGTCCTCTCCCTGCTCCTCCTGGCGATGAGGGGGGTGAGAGAGCCGTAAAACCTTGACTTTTAAAACTTGCATCCACTATATTTTTCTTCAGAATGCATGATGTGAGTTTGACAAAAGTATAAAATCATTTGTTATTAGAAGAAACTCGATGCTTTGATCTTCTAACCTATTAGATAATGAAATGTATGAATTTTGTTTTATTCACCTGGCATAAATAGTTAAATTTGTACAAAAATTATTCTATCTAAAAAATTAAAAATTTTCCAATATTAATAATTGTATAGATGCCATATCTAATAGTTGTATATTTTGTCATTTGTTCAACATCAACATATGCCATAAATTGTAATGGTGTCAGAGTAAACCATATCTCAAACAAAATATATAACGATAATCAGGTTCATTAAATCATATTGGAAATAATTGTTCCATTGAATCAATTATTTGTATATGTTGTACAACAAGTGTAGGTATTTTATCAAGGGGAAACAGTGCACTCCGATTGCTTGCAGTCCCAAGGACTTCTTCGGAGTTCCTTAGAATTTTCAAGAGTATCATGAGTATACCTTATGGCTGTTTAAGGAAATTGTTTTATCAACTTCTATTTTATCAATTCGAACGTCAGGATGAAAATATTTTTTTCCGAAATATATATACCTTTGCTAGAAACACTTTGTTTTTGTCAACTTCTGTTTCCATCAGAATTAACTCAGTCTATAACTGTTCCTCGAATAAAATAGCTCTTGTCTTCGATTGATAAGGAAAAGAAAGCTGTGAAAGCAAGAGATATTTTACTCTATTTTTTTTTGTTCATCTAAATTATTTAAATCAATTTTTCGTGAGTGCATGAACTCTACGGAGTACAGGAGTACGTTGTTCCCCTCTTGACATTAGCTGTTTGTACAATAGCAACTACACAGACTGTTTTTATGCCAATATTTTATCTCGGAATTTTATTTTTGCCGTCAAATAAGTATGGTTTCAACACTGTTTAAATAGCTCTTCATCGAAACAATTACTTTTCTTTAAATTTCTTATTCATTGCACATTGTTTTCTTTATTGTTATAGACATGAATATACACGACTGAATGTTGTATGTTTATTTTAAAGTAAAACTTGTTTGGCTATACTTACAAATATCTGGAAACTTAAATTAGTCTTTTGTAGAAAAAGACACTACTCCCTATAAAAAAAGGTTTAGTACGAAAGTCTCAAACTCTTTGGAGTTCTATATTTGCTGACTAGAACTTAAAAAAGATTCAGAAAATGGTACCCAAATGTAGAACCCTAAATAGTTCAGGATCGTATTCATCAACATCTCTTATTTGAAACTAAGCGTGTCTCAGAAATAGAGAGAGAGGAACTCTTTATTATGTGTCTTACTAGATTTTGGCAGTTTGTTTAAGAAACATAAATTTTTCTGTCTTCCATCCATATTACACTTGTGCATCAAATAATTGGATTTTACATGCATTTCCAAAAAAAACAGATACTTACTGTAGCTTGTGAATTGATAATACAGATTCTCATTTGATTATTGGTTGATGATATGATAAAGCTATGAAAGTCAGTACTGTTCGCGTCCCCATAAATCGCATTTTCATCGGTTTTAAAATCATTAATATTATTATCGATGCATTAGTAATGACAAAAGGTTAGAAAATTGTTAAAACAACTGTATCATACATAGAAACATGTGCATTAACAATTAACAAAATAATTTTGAAGTAATACTTTAGAGCAAAGAAAGGAGAAGAAAGTATCAAACTTCAGCGCTCAGAAGAAGCAAGTCTTATCGACTTGAAGTTTTCATTGTACGTAAAAGCAGACTCTGGAGAAGAAATTTACCTGATCAAATTTTTTTAATTATTTCTTTCAAACAGCATATCAATATTTTCGCGTTTTACCTTAAAAAGGTGTTTATTAGACCAGAAGATTCACTTCGTAATAGTATTATTATTTTACTATTTTAAACAATATGAATTTTATACTGGCTAAATCAGAAATAAATTTAAATCATTTGATGAAGCTAAAAAATTGCATATGTAAGCATGATTTAATAGAGTCTCAGTAGATGATGATTGCATCGAAAGAGAGTACAAAAAGTCAGATTATGAAAAGAACTTGAGCGCTACTCTCATTTTAAGCAAAAGCGTTCAAGATAATCTTTTTGTATTACATTATGATTCTCATCTATCTCAAAATCAATAACAAAAAAAATAACTCGAATCAAATAAAATTTTTATATCTGAGGTCGTGCTGTTTTTTTTCTTATTTCATTCTTTCTTTATCTATCCTAGTGCATCCAGATATATTTTCTTTCAACATCTCTTCTCATTGCCATCTTCTAATATTTTTCATTTTTTTTACCACAAATAAATTTTACATCGCCTAGAGTAGTTTACATTCGTTCATGTTTTCGTGTTTAGAGTTTTACTGCATTATGGGTATAATTTTATCATTATATCATTATATCAGAGGTCAATAATAAGTGAAATGATCTTCCTGTGGCTGAACATCTAGGAGAAACTTCGGTAATGTCGGTTCAAATCTCTCTATAATTATTTATAGTGCAACGTGTTATTTGTCATTTTCAAATGTGTTTCGAAATGCCATGAAGTCCGCGGAGTCTACTGTTTTCTCTTTGTATTTTATTCCATATCATAATAACTATGTTCAGTAATATGTTGTGCTAAATCAATACTTCTTAAATAAATATTTCTTAATGTTGATTCATTAGTGTATCTGATGAACTTATTATTGTAGAAACACTCTTTACTGCAATTGATGATATTGAACGATAAATATTTGTTTTATTTCCTATTTCATTCATAAATGAATTTTGAGAATGATGTAGGAGAATAGAAGATTGAGAAAACTAAGTTCTTTTTTTATGGATAATGATGATTTAGGACTTGTTAGTGTTTGTGAAGGATGACACTTTAAGGAATGTGGAACTGTATACTGTCGATAGATCATTTTTTCATTTGAAGAAGTACTTTTGCATATGGATGGTGCTAATAGAGAAGATTTACTGGTTCTTTATTAACGAATAACTAAAAGTAGTGGCAGTAGCCCTACACTACATTATAGAACGACTGGAGGAAGTTTTTTATGTATATTGATGGTATAAACAGCGCTCTATAATTTTAAAATATTTCATTATTCCTCATTTTCTGTGACACTATCAGAACTTCGATCATAAACTGTTCAACTCTCATTTTTGTTGCATAAGGAAAACTTTCGATTTTGCATTTAGGCGCGGCAGTTAGGCTCCCGTCTCTGAGAACAGTTGAAAAATGATATGAATGGTTTCGTGAAGGTTGAGAAAATATCGAAAACGAAGCATAATTCAACGTATCTGTCATCGAACAACATTCATTCATTGCCTTATTAATGATGATCTTCATATTACAGTTGAAGAATTTCAAGCATAAACTAATCTGACTCATGGTGCCATCCAACAAAATACTATCTGATTATCGTAAACTTAAAAATATGGCGGCTAGTTATGCATCGTAATAGTTAACCTTGAGGGTAATTATGAACGGTATGATCTGAATTACAGATCTAGTAGGTTGCTCTTCGTCTTTAACATCTTTTCAGCCTTTATGAAACTATTCATATCATCTGTCAACTGTTCTAAGAGATGAAGTTTGACCATCGAAAACAAAATAGTTTATCATAAATAACTCTCATTTGAATATATAGTATAGTATGCGATTTATTATAGTAAATTAGAGATGAACAGCTTTGATCGAAATTTTTACATTATTACATCAACTGAAGAACGATAAAATATTATAAAATTATATAGCATTGTTTGGACTATCAATATATACCATAGCTATCAAAATTATTCAACTAGTAGATTTTTTTTCAGATAGTATAATAGCAAAAACTTTCAGAACAACATGATTCAATAGATTATATTGCACTCTACGTAATTCCTATAATGTTTAGCTAATTTAATTGTTCAATATGTCATTAGCAAGAGCACTAAAAACTGCATCAGATATTGTATTTGAATATATAATTCATTTTGGAAAATTGTTCTACTTCTCTCCTATAATGGACTTGTAGGGAATCTTTTTCCGTATGAAACTGTTATATTTGAAATCAAACTAAATATATAGTCAATTTTTTCGTGCAACGTCTATATAAATCTCTATTGTTGGGACTACATATATATATGAGGTACGAAGTGATCTCAGTTTTTCGGCAATGAAGTTCCAATTAATATAAGAACGGAGAACAATTTCATCTAAGATCAATGTGAAACTCAAATTGAAGACTCAAAAACGTTTATATCATCTCGAGACATGGATCATTCTGACAAAACTTAAACGAGTTTTCTAACAACTCGTTATTCTCTGGACCATTATGACACAAAATACCGATTTTGTTACAACGAAAAACACGCCAAGTATAGAGACCGAATGCGTACGCAACAAGCTACAGAAATATATTGCTCCACACTGCATTCACAAGTTAAATAGTTTATATGAATACTTACTCATAAAAATCTCATCAGAGGCTGACAATGTGTCTCTAACGCATTCGTTATTTCATGTTTTTTTCTAACACTTGACTTGTACTTTTACTTTGAGAGTTGCTACTTAAAACTGTTATAAGTATGATGTTGATGGATATAGATAATTTACTGAAAATATGTTGAATAAAATTTTTAATGAATAGGCTATTGAATGATTAAAAATAAACATGTTAATTTTGATTTTGGAATATTTTGTATTGCCAAACCGAAAAAAAAAATTAAGATCTTAGAGAATTTCCAAATGAATTTATGCTTAAGTATTATTATAAGATACATCCAATGATCATGATTGAAAAAAAAAGTAATAAAGACATAAATAAAACAAATTCCAAGAAAAGAATTCATTAAACTTTATTTTAATAATGCAAAGATAAACGACAGTGAATATCATATAAATTGAATACTTAAATATTCCAACTACAATAATAAATTTGTATAAATAGAATTGATTTACAACATTTTTATATATTTCGATATTTTTTTCTTTTGATACAACAATAATATTCTTTTTTTCAAAAAAAAACCCGTTGATATAATTTATGTCATTAAGTTACCAATGATAAAAAAAATGCAAATAATAACAAACATCAGTGAATGAATTTTTATTAACTATTTTGATTTTCATGTTTACGTTTGTATAGATTTACATCTTTATTCAATCACACAAATTCATATTTATAGTTGTAGAAGAAAACAAAAGTGATGATGCGAACAACATTTTAATTCTTTCAAATGACTTCATCAACAATTGTGATTTAATGTTCTATGTTGTTCACAATTGTCAAATTACTTGGAACGTCCACATTGTTTGTTTTATTAAGCATGTCTTTAATGAACTATCATATTTAATGAAGATTGATTGAAGAATTTCTATTACAAAAAGTTTGTTTTTGTTTAATTTTCTTCTCTATTTAATGATGTTATTAAATTTTCTATGTGTTCTAATATTCTTTCTTCTAATTCTATTTTCAGTCTCTTGTGAGTTGATATCATTATTAATAGAATTAAGCGAACGTATCTTTCATCTTCTTTTTTCCTTTAGAAACAATGATTTGACACATATTGCTTAGCTGTTGTTTTTTTTAATTCTATAAAAAAAAAAAGAAAAAAGAAAGATTGCACAGATGTACTGCGAAGAAAAAAAAATATACATAAAACAAATCATATTCGTTCATCGAAGCATATTAAGACAACTTTTACTTAAATTGAACAACTTGAGAGCTTTTTTGTTTAATTAAAATCAACCACATGGAAGAATTCAAACACAAAAAAAGACATCATTGAAAAAATGACCTACGAAATAATTAATGAACGTCTTGTTAAAATTAAATGTTCAACATTATGAACAACCTATGGAATATTTTAATATACAGTTGTATTTTATTTTTTATTTTTTTTTTTTGTGAATAGGACAATATTCAATTAAAAAAAGAAAACATTATTGAATAATCGTCTGTATGTCATAGAGTCTTTCGAAGAATTGAAACAAAAATTGAGCAATTAGTTGGCTTCATTTATCTTCTGTTTTTTGGTAAGTGTTAAAATGTCTCGCAACAAGTTATTCTCCAGAGATTATACAACATAGATGAACAAAAAAAAAAGAAAAAGAAAAAAAGATCTATGTCAATGTGTTATACATGTAATTTTGTCGACAATGAACATCTTCATTTCATTCATACTAAATGATGCTGAATGATTAACGAGTCATAATAGAAAAACAAGATAGATTAATTTGAAATTCAGTCATTTTTGTTTTTCGATTGGTTAAAAAAAATGCGTTTTGTATATTTCTCATTGGTTAGGATAAAAAAAAGTTAATTTTCATCTTATAAATGGTAGCTTTAAACAAAATGAAAAAAAAAAGAAGAAAGAAAGAATCGTGATTTTGGAGATGTATGAAAAAAAAAGTCGTTAGTTAATCTATGAAACAAGTAACAGCAAAATTTTGTCTATTCTCAATTCTCATGAGAGCCTAAGAAGAAAAAAAAGAAGAAAAAGACGAACGGACTCTTTTTTTTTCCTCGTTATCGTTTGAATTTTTTTTCTTTTAAAGCATCATTGATGCATATCGATTCGGTACAATAGTTGTTGTCGTCTCTTTTAATCAAGTTTCTCTCTTTTTTTCTCTATTCTTCGAACAACTCGAGACGAGTCATTGGCTTTTCTCGTCAGTTTGGCATAGTGTTTGCTTGAAGAAATATTCAATCTATCATATATATAGACAGCAGTAACGCTCTATTGAAGTTTTCTTTTTCTTTTTGCTTCTATCTATCTTTCTCTTCCCTTCATTGACTTTTGGAGACTGTCTCTCATTTGTGCACAAGAGGTTTGTTCCTGTGCGAAACCATGTTTCCGTTCAACCAGTTCGTTGCAGCTCAATACCGATATTCCAAATTCGGTAGGTGCTCTGTATATTTTTTCCCCTATCGATTCTTGCCTCCCTCCTTTTTTTTTATCCCTTTGTGCTCCAATGAATCGCAAGAGTTTATATTATCTATTAGTAAACTCATCATTGACTTAGTCAATATATATATATATATTTTTTTTCATAGGACATGGAGGTATTAATCAACTCGGTGGAGTTTTTGTTAATGGTCGACCATTACCCGATCTTGTTCGTCAATCAATTGTTGATTTAGCTAAACAAGGTGTACGACCATGTGATATAAGTCGACAATTACGAGTATCACATGGTTGTGTAAGTAAAATTCTTGGAAGGTAATAAAAAAACCAAACAAGCAAACGATTCAATTATTGTTTCTTTTAAAGGTATCATGAAACAGGTTCGATTCGTCCCGGTATTATTGGTGGAAGTAAACCAAAAGTTGCTACACCAAAAGTTGTGGATGCTATAAGTAATTATAAAAGTCAAGCACCAACAATGTTTGCATGGGAAATTCGTGAACGTCTTATTGCTGATGGAATATGTGATTCAGATAAAGTGCCAAGTGTTAGTTCGATTAATAGGTAAGAGAATATAAAATTTCTATTGTATATTATATGAATAAAAAGACTTAATGTATTTTGTAAACTAATGATTCGCAACGACATTGATTTGCCGACACATATTCATTTGTTACTTTTCTTTTTTTTCTTCTTCTTTGATTGTCTATTCAAGAATTGTTCGTAATCGTGGAAATTTAAATGATAATTTAAAAGCAAATAATCATAATAATAATAATAATTCATCACCAACAACATCAAATGAAACAACAACAACAACAACACCATCAGCTATTATAAGTGGTACAACAAGTAATGAAGATGATAGTCGAAGTCATCCAACAGGTGTACCATCATCACCTAATGGTTATAGTATTCATAGTTTACTTAATCATTCACAATATAATTTACATTCAAATGAATATTCAATAAAACGTTCTCATCATCATCATCACCATAATCATCATCATCATGGATCTCGTATAAATCATCATATCGGTAAGAAATTATTAATTGAACTGTCATAGAATACAACTAGACAAAGACCAAATCGATGATATAATCTCAAAGGAATTCATATAATTTTTTTTTATTTTTATTTTATAGAAATGCTTGATTATAAACATTTTTCGGCTGAACAAATTAATTTTTTGGATAAATTTTTTAAAGATAATCCATGGGCAGATAATGCACAAATTGAATCGATTGCTAAAGCAACTGGTCTTTCGGAATCAATAATTAAAGTAATCTAAACAAAAAAACAAAGAAAAAATCATTTTTTTTTAATTTGAAAGACTTATATTGATCAACGTCGTGCTAAATGGAATTCAATGTATACATCAAATAATTATCTTAATTATAATACAAATGATTTTTCAAATGATTTATCAACACAATCATCATTTCATAATGTTAATCAACATTTTATTGGAAATAATAATACAATGAAAAATGATTTTGATATATCATCAACACGTTTGTTAAAGTTTTTTTGTCTTTGAAAAGTATCTTTTATCCTATGTAAATTACGTTTAGAATCTAATGAACTTTTTTGTTCATCATCAACACCTTATCCAACATCAACAACAAATTTTCCAATACCAGCACATGCATCAGGTAATAGAAAAAAAAGAAAAGGCAACTATAAGATTTTGAGTACAGAAAAAAAATACATATAGGCTTGTAGATGAAGACTTCCTCTGTCGAGCCAAACAGACATGATCGTAAGCAATCGTATACGGAGAAATAGTGCTCGTTTACAGTCCTGGTAAGTAATACTGAACATGTCATAATTACTCAATACGGCACAAAAAACGACCATTTATGGTAATTGGCAGTGATCCGTACTGGTTGATCTGGAGTTTCGCTTCGCTATTCTCCCGATATGACTGCATTGTTCCGTATACGGTCACAGAGATATACAATCGTAATATGGAACGTGCACCTGCGTATACAGACTTCGGATGCATGGATTTGGCAAATACGTACACTATTATATAGAGAAAGTCTTGCTCTAGAAGCCTACGTATATTTTTTTTATATAGTCAGGAATGTCCCGAGGTCATCAGGATTGAGAAGAGTCAACCATCGTTACAGAAATTGATAATCAAAAAAAAAAGGAAGAAGATTATTCAGTTTCGTTGAGAATAAACGAAAATTTTTCAAGATTATGGAGGCACTGTTATCTGTAGTCAAAAATCATCGAAAAACTTATAGTCATCTTGAGCATATAATGAAAACAAAAATATCCATAATTTGATTCCTTATTTTTTTTTAAGAATATTATTCTTCAAATCCATATTCAACTGATTGGCGTTATTCATCATTTTCAAATTTTAGTAAGTAATTCTATTGTGTAAGTATTGAATGAAAAATCTTCATATTCAAATTTTTGATTCATATTTATTAAATAGATCGTGATATTCATCAATATTATCCTTATTATGTATGCGATTCATCGCTGAAATCCGAACCTATTCCATAAAACAAAACAAAAAAAACAACCTATCATTTTGTTGTCTATTTTCATGTCTACAATTACTTCATATTAATAAATGTGCACTCTTTGTTCATAAAAATTCTTGTTTGATTTTCTTTTTTTTTTCTTTCTGAATTTGGTCGCATGTAAAACAAATATAAAATACACACGCACACACAAAAGAAAAGATTCTTCAGATTCTCATCCAACAACAACGTCGTCATCATCGCTATCATTTTTTGTTTCTTTAATAGTTTGTTTAGAAAGAACTGGACTTGTTCTTGGTGGTGGTCGAGTATTATCTGGTGAAATATGACGAGAAGATGGACGATCACTAGCTGATGGTGATATAGGACGACGAGTATTCGACGGCGAAAATGGACGTTGCTAAATATTGTTAATAAAAACAATTAATAAAGAAACTTAGAAAAAAACAATTACTGATTTTGAAAATGAATCTTTATCACTGATTGGAAATCGATTGATAGAACCAAGTTTATCTGGAAAAAAGATAAAAGAAAGAAAAAAAGAAATTGAATTTAAATGATGTTTCAATACACACTTCGATCACTAGGTATGGTGTGTTTCGAACCACTAGCCAACGGCGTTGAAGATCGATGACTGACAGGTGGAGGTGAAGGGGATTGACGCTAGAGAATAAAGTTAAGGAGAGAGTAAGAGAGGCTATTGAAACAATATTGTATACTTCACCATTTTAGAAGCTAAATCTCGAGCACTTGAGGGTGATCGACTGTCTGGTTGAATTTTATCTAAATAAACAAGTAATCCAATATGATATTCGTAATGAAAATTATTAAAATTTTCTTACCATTAAATAATGATTGTTTCGTGCTTGATTTTGATTGATCATGAGGTGTATCTTGTTTTTTTTCACTATTTTTTATTTCAATAATACATTATCTATCATTTTAACATTATTTCTTACCTTCCATATACTGATTGAGATGGTTTCGATCGTGTTAGACTAGGATAATCATCATCGTCACTTTCAGCACGTTCAGATCTTTCTATTAGGACTGGTGATCGTGATTTAGGCGTTGGAGACGATGTAGTACTTCGAATTTTGTCAATTTCCGATCGATTTAAATAGCCTCGTAATGCTGCTTGTACAGTTTTTAATGCAGTCTATCGGTAAAAAGAGATAGTTTTTTGATAATTGTAATCGAAGAATTCTTACTTCATTAGCAGTGGCACTAGCTGATGGTGGTCGACTCTTAATAGAATTACTATCGACATTATCAACTTTAGAATTTGACCGTGGTGATTGTGCTTCATATGATTTCTAAAGACAAAAAAGTAATAGAAAATGTGTTATCAATAAATCTGTAACGTGACAAAATTCGAAAGGAATCATTTTAAAGATATGAATGATTTTTATCTGACAAGAATGCAATCATATATATTCAGAAATCGTAGATATAAAATATGTACATTCATGTGATTCAAACTGGGCAAAAATCCACCGCTATTCTAACAATCAGCCGGTGGTAGTGTGATACTTAAATGTTTGGCTATCTGCTACCTGCTGATATACCGTCGGTATTTATGAGAGTACCACGGTAATGCAACAATCGTGCAGCATAACTATCTCTTGTTTCTTCGATTAGTTCAAGATAAATTCTTAAGAATTGAATTAAACAAATCGTTTTCTATGTGAATACAATGTTGAATAATTTAATCTAAGAATAATTCAATTCGAAAGATAATTTACCGTAGAAGCGCTTATTTTGGAACTCCACTAAATAATAAAAATATTTCATAGATAATTTCAATAGAAACATTTTGATATTTTACTTTATCTAAATTTTCATGTCTTGCTTTATTTATATCTCGTAATGGATCTTTATGTGATTTTTCATGACGACGCCATTCTCGTTGAATAACAGTAGCTGCATGTTTTTCTCGAAAATTTTTTACACGATGATCATCAGCACTTGAAGAAAAAAAATATCATATGATTTATTTTTCTTTAGAAAAATAATTAAGAATTTAATCTTACGTAGTCCAGTTATTAGCATGTACATTTTTAGTTGATGATTTTACTGGAGTAGTTGGTCTTTTTGCATTTAATGAAGTATTCAATGTACTAGTGGATGATGTACGTAAACCTATTGGTTCACTCGATTTTCGAGTCGGTGTACTTGGTCTAAAAAATAAATATAAGATTTATGTAGTTTTAAGCTTGCGAAGAAATATCTTCAATTGTTGAACAGTTCGTTGGGTCCAAGTCCGAAAGCTGTCATGGCTGAGTGGCTATATTGTGGTATGCGTCTGCCTCCTGTCTAGAACTATAGTTAGTGCTAGTAGAAGTGATTCAGGACTAACCCGATGAAGCTCATATTAGGCTTATAAGCAGGATTCTAATCCATGATGTATCACCTAATTAGAGTGATGATTTCTTTGTTAGCATTTTCAACCTCTACGTCAAGTGTTCATGGATACCTGAAGGATGAAATTTTATCCATTGACAGGTTTCAAGGTCATTAGAATAAACTGAAAAATTTCACGAAAAATAGATTCATTTGAGCTGAAATATTCATGTTATTCTAGTAACACTAAGACCAGTCTATGGACAAAGTTTCAAGTAAAAAAAAACAAATTGATCATAGCTTGGATTAGGTAATGTATGAATGGGAATTATTTTAGGCTTTGACTGCTCTCATCGAGTTCTACTAATAATTTAAATATAAAGTCAATCGGTGTACGCCAATTAGGAATATTTCGTTATTTGTTTTGAAATTACTTTGAATCAATTTTTGTGGGTTCTTCAGATGAATTCGAATCTAGACGAATAAAACTAGGTGGCGATCGTGGTGTTCGATTTCCAACTGATGGCGATTGTGGTCGTTTAACACGCATTGTCGATAAACTGATAGAATCTCGATGTTGTTGGTCTTCGTCACGTTTTAATGCTGGAGATGAACGACCACCTTTATTCAATTTTGTTTGTTTATCAAGTTCATTTTGCATATCTTCAAGTTCTTTTTTAGCTTGATCAAATTTTTTGCGATATTCCTCTCGTTCACGTCGAATTTTGTCCAAATTTTCATTCGTTTGTTCAAGTTCATTTTGATAATCTTTACATTTTCCTTTAAGATCTGCAATTGTTCTTAGTAATTCTTTATTACTACTATCATCCTAAATATAAAGAAGTTTAAAAATATCAATGATGAAATCTCAAGTATTATAACAATCCTATAGATCTTATTTCAGATCTATTCAACAACGAGAAACTTAATATTTTTGAGAAAGAAGACAATTAATTCTTTAGTTACGAGGTATTTGCATAGATGAGAAAAAGTGTAGGTTTGCTCACAGAAATCTAAAAACGGATATATTTACGTCAAAGGAGCACAGCAAATTGCGTTAGACTTCAATACTTGTAGAGTCGAGTAGAGTTGTCCAGAACCTTACGGAATTCTTCGCTTAGTTCCGTGAATAACCCAGTGATTCTCTATTATAAATATAGATCTAATAAAATTGAACATTTAGTCTTCTGTAAGATTAGAACTTCAGTAGTAATCGAAACTTTCTAGGACGACAATAGTTTTAGGACTCTACGCAATTTTAGGTACAGAGAATTGATAAATTCTCATAGACTTCTAAAGCCACGATTCCTTCTTTGAACTCAAACGATTAAGAATGAAATTGAAAAGGATCTTATGTAAACGTTATAGTGACTTTACTAAATTTTCCAAAACAATTTTCATTTAAAAAGCTTTCCATACCGATTCTAAAAATGTCCTTATTTTTTTCTTCAATCACTTCTAAGATAAAAGAGTGTGCATTTTTTTTAGAAAACTCTTAGTTGATTAAGCGTGTACACTTTTTCCAACAGAGAAATTGTTAGAACAAAGTTTTTCGTATGGAACGATAGAACAACAGTTCTACGGTTTATCTTGTACGTCTATCAATTTTCTTGGGAAAAAAATACTAGAAGATTCGAGAGATTTTTCAGACAAACTATATTACTGCAAATTAACAAACGGTATATTTTGAAATGTTTATCATTTTATAAATTAAACAACATACCGATGAACGTGCTGATAATGGTTTTCCCCGTTCTAATTTTTCAAATTCTTCAAGTTTTCTTTTTAAAATTTCATTTTCTTTTTTATAATCATCTTTTTCTTTATTTAATTTTCGTACAGCATTCTTTTTTTCTTCATCAAACGTAGCTGCATAATCACTATAAAAAGAAAAATAATCGAACAAATAAAATAGAACATTTTTTTTTCTTACTTCTGTTGAATATAATTTAGTCTTTCTACTTTTTGTCTTTCAAGTTCACTAAATAACGCACGATTTTGTATTTCTAATTCTGTACCTTTTGTCCATCTTGGATCACTTTTTATTTCTCTATATTCAAAAACAAAATATATATATATATATATATGTTTTTATCTATTTCATTCCAAACATACTCAATCGTTGCTGCTTTTTGTTTAACTTCTGTTTCTAATTTAAATATACGTTGTTTTAAACGTAGAATAGCATTCTAAAAAAGGAAGAAGATTTTCATGTATTATTTACATTTATATAAAACTAACCGCATTGGAATTATTATTATTCCGATCTGTTAATGATCCTGATAATGTTCCTCGTAAATCACCATCCTGAAACATTATTTTTATACAATAATAAACTTTAATATAAAATGATACCTTGCTTGTATCACATAAGGAATCAATTTCTTTTCGTTTACGTGCATTGTCTTCTTCTAAACGTCGAATTTTAGCACGAAGAACACTATTGTCATTTTTAACTGTTTTCATTTCCTTAATTGGCAAAATAAAAAAGGAATATTTCAATCAAAAATTATAATTAAAATAAGAACTTTTTTTAATGATTGTATTTCATCATAATAATCTTCTTGTGCTTTATATTTTGGATTTCCACTTGTTGATCGACTTGCTATTTGAACAAAGAAAATCTAATTCTAATTAATGATCTTTAAAAAAAAAACAAATTCTTCTTACTATTAGATTTAAATGTTAATTCACTTGCAGTTTTTGTACGTGGTATATCTCTTTCAGAAATCATTTCATTTGGTGCTAATGAATTTTGTTCAAACATATCTCGTAAATAACCTGATGCACTTCGATAAGCAAGATCTGTATCATCAAATGAATTCAAATGTGTCAACGGTTTTCGTTTTCTATTCATATATGGTGTCAAACCTTAATTTAAATTATTTTTGTAAAAAAACTTTTTATTTTCCGCTTGTCTGAAATTCTTTAAATATTACCTTGACCATGTGGTAATTGTTCAACATAAATTTCGCGTGCATTCTTTGTACGAATTCCTCCATTGACTTTTGACATGTTAACAAATTGAAAATATTTAATCGAACAATCACAAGTAGATATGTATGATTATTGATACTATGGAAACAGCATCCATGAAGAATGGTTGACAACAAGAAACGACCTCTATGGATTTTGGTCTTTTTAATGCTGAACTATGGCGACAAACTTTAGAATAAAAAAAAGAAGAAAAATACCTGCGTTTTTGAATCAAGCGCAAAGACATCCATTTTTTTATGCCACTTTCGTTTCGCTTTTTTTCTTACTTCTGTGTTTTGTTTGTTTTATCAAGCATTTGTACATTTTCTAACTGACTGAAGTTGGTTCTTTCGATATTTTTCGTATAGAAAAAAAAAACTATGCTAACTTTAAAATCTCGATTGTCATTTAATACAACTCGAATTATCGCTACAAGTGCTATGATCATAGGAAAAGAACAGAAACGATATTCGTGTTTAACAATGCAAAATCTCAATCCACTTGTTAAATTAGTTGAATATGCTGTTCGAGGTAGGAAAAAAATTAGAATTTTTCAAAATTCTAATAAAAAGTTTTGCTTCGTTTTCTTTTTATATCTTAGGTCCGATTGTTATTCGTGCTGGAGAAATTGAAAGCCAATTAAAGGTAATTGTTGTTCATTTTTTATTCTCGATTCCTACTGTTTTATCAGCATGATTCACTTATTTTTAGCTAGTTTTCTTCAGTTTATTGTATCTCTGTAAGACCTCTGTAGTTTTTTCTTTTAATATGCCTTGGATAGAACATTGATTATTCTACCGAACTCTATGATTTTAATTTAATTGATTTCGTGTATTGGCCGCAGTTTTAATAAATTTTAAAAATTCTTAGAAAAAAGGTTTTTGCACGCTCATATCTCCATGAAACTATATTCAATTTTTGTGAAACTAGCTCTATGTCCTTGGAAATATTGAATAAAACTGTTTTGCATTTGAGTCCCTTCTCTCCTATCAGAACTCTAGCATCGGCAGGGTACATTAAACATTGATGAAACTTTTCATAGATGTTTGATTCATGGAAATACATTAATAAAAAAAATCTCACGTCAACATACATTACCGTTCAGGAAGTTGCCAAGGACAATTAACTCGTACACATTTCTTGTCAATGTATTTTAAACGATAGAGTTCGAGATTAATTTCATTTGAAAGAGAGCTACTAACACTTTGGATGAGGAAAAAAAACCTTTTTGTAGTCTAATTTTTACTGTGTTTCATTTTTCGAATCATCGAAATTTCAAAAATCTGGAACTTCTGAACATGATTTTCTGGAAAGCTCAGGATTTATTTATCTAGCATTGAAGATTGGTAGAAAAATTCATTTCCTACATCTGACGGCCTATGCATATATATATATATCGATTAAAGAAAAAACACAGCTCTCGAGAATAAAGTATATTGAGAAAAACGCAAAAGAATTTGTGACCCACATAAAACTGGTCACTTTTGTTTTCTGTATTTGAAGCATTTTAAAGTAACGTTAAAATCTGTCTTCGTACTTATTTGATGTAGAATTTATTTATCTACAAAACTAGTAATTTTGTTTTTCAAATGATATTATCTTGTTCATGTGAGATTTTTAAAAAATTAAGTGCAACTCAATCGTCCTAATGTGAAGGAAAAAGGTTATGACAAATTTTTATAGTAGCGCCACTGAAATTTTAACTACACCAAAATATCCTCTGTGAAATTCTGCATCTTTTCAAAAGCATTTCAAAATATTAGAAACAATACCGGTGAGAAAAAGTTTTTAGTTAGAAACTGTGAAAACGCTGAAAAATCTGTTTTCTGCCCCACTGTTGCCATTCTACTTTTTTCAATAAGAATCACATAATATCGTCTCATCAATTAGATCTGACTTTGGAAAGTATAATTTTCAATAATGCATTGAAATAAATCGACATGTGCTAGTCCAAAGCCTTTTTCTCGTGAAGGATAGACGTTAATACATTGAAAAGTCGCAGGTACATAGGGCAAAAAATGTTCTATTTTTTCATGCAATTTATTTTGCTTTTGGTATAAAATTTGACGAACATATTATTGCATAAATCCATCCATGTCTGCAAAAAAAATACAACATCGCAGTTGGACAATTGAGCAACACTTAATTGCTTGGATTTTGCGCGAACAAGGTTATTTCATTTGAAAAAAACGAAGTTGCTAGCTTTTTAGAGAAAAAAATTGTATATCAAATAAGCTCAAAGACAGAAAACAAAAGTGGCCAACTTTATCTAGGCCAATCGTTAAATATATTACATGTCAATCAAAGCACTTGTCTGAAGTGTGGGTGTAGAATAAGAGAAAATCTAAATTAGCATCCTCATGGTATTGTAATTCTCAATAGCATGTCTCTCGGATACGCAAGATTTGATTATCTCTGAAAAGGATTGTTTATTTTACAGATCTAACTCTACAAAAATAAGTTACTGATTGCTCTAGACATTATTATTTATCATAATAGTTTCAAAGATGACTCATAAAACCGGTAAAATCCTTCGAGAATAAAAATTTTTTTTGATGAATTCGTACATTAGAAAATATGTTCATACCTGAGAGGAACAATACTAAGAAAATTTAATTTTACTATTGAAATTTTAGGCAATTTTGTGCTAATGAGTAAACAAATCAATCTTCCATATAACCATATATATAAATGAAAAAGATTTAAATGTTTAGCCGACTATAATAAACTCGAGAAAAAATACTGTAAATTCTACAGTATCTTTTTTTAAATTCATTAAATTTTCAGTTAAAATCGGAAATGAATCAAATAAGCAATATAAAACTTCTGAAGCTTTGCAGAAATACGGTAGATTGAAAATGATTAATAAAAAATAGATGAATTATGTTGTATAACCATATTTTTCTTATAGAAAAACAAATCCATTTCCAAGCAAAAATAGAATCTTTCGATTACATATTTTCATTCTATGTGCTAATGGATGTTTTAGTCAAGAAGCATATATATATATATCTATATGTCGTTGTCGTTCCTCCAATATTGACTTTGAAAAAGACATTGGCTATAAAGATATCTTATCCGATCAGAGAAAAAAAAGCATATTTACTGACAGAAGAGAAAAAAACAAAAAATCTAGTAAATAACAAAAATGTACTCTCCTATATATTTTTTTTATTCATATCTGAATACCATTAATGACGAAAGCGTGTGCGATAAGGGTTTTTTTTTCTTCTTTTCGTTCTTCTGTAGACAAACTACAGGATGCAAATACAGTGAAGAAGCTGAGGTTAAGAAAAAGAAATAGAATATAAGTAAATATACATCGTTCGTTGTCTTTGTTTTCTTTCTTTCTTTCATTTCGACAAGAGTTAAGCATTAGACTAGCAGGTTCAGTATCTTTGTTTTTTTGTATCAAAATGGATAATACAAATGAAAATACTAAAACACTCACGATGGCAAATTTAAATCCTCGTGTTATTGAAGTTGAGTATGCTGTCCGAGGTCCTATTGTTATCCGTGCTGCTGAAATTGAAAAACAAATAAAAGAAGTATTGATATGATTTATATTACAAAAAAAAAGAAAACATTCGTTTTTATTTTTTATTTTATTTTTCTTTAAGGGTGCTCATAAATTTCCTTTTGATCGTGTTATTCGAGCTAATATTGGTGATTGTCATGCTAGTGGTAATCAAGTACCTGTTACATATATTCGTCAAGTTTGTATTTATTTATTAGTTTATTTTTATTTTTTAATTAATAGCAAATAAAAAAATAAAAATTTTCTAAATAGTTTCTTGCTGGTTGTACGTATCCACCGATGATGGACTCACCAGAGTTTCCATCAGATATTAAACAAAAAGTTCAACGTTTATTATGTGTATGTGGTGGAAAAAGTCTTGGAGCATATACGGAAAGTCAAGGAATAATAACAATACGAGAAGATATTGCAAAATATATACAAGAACGAGATGGTTATCCAGCGAATCCAAGTGATATTTATCTTTGTAATGGAGCTTCTGATGGAATTAAAACAGTGATTAAACTTCTTATGAATAATGATCCAAAGAAACCATCAGGAATTGTAAGTAAATAAGAAATATTTTGTAAATAGCATATACGACAATAATTAATTACAATTGAAAATCATCTTCCAAAATCTGTTTTTTCTTTAACGAATCTTCATATTAAAATCGCTAAAATAATGATATGAATATTTTCTTCTTTACTCGCATCATTTTACTTACATATGTGTCTCAAAAGAAATTAAATGCAGTTCGAAGACGCCCCAAAAGAATTCTTCTAGACTGTTTGTATTGATAAGATATTCTGTGGCTTCATATTTCAAATTAACAATACAAGAAATTCGTTTTTCTTTTTAAGACAAAAATAATTAATCGATATTCTAAACAAAATCTCAATTTCCGATAATTTATCTATAAAAATTAAACGTTTTTCAAGATGGAGTGGATTATTAAGGGTTTTTCTGCACACCCATATTTTCCACTAATCTAAAGCAAACATATTTCAAATCAATTTTATACTTGTGCATCTCTGTATTAACCAACTAAAGTTTGTCGATATTTTCTTGTCGTTTTCATTATAAATTAATCAAACATAGTATTTTATTACTTATTACAAAAAATAGATTCATCATTTCTACATTTTTCTTTTAAGAAATTTTTTTTAATGATCTTTTCTGGACCGCTGACATTTCATTAATAAGACACTTGCCAATGGTGAAAGTCCTATTAGCAAAATTTTCGAACCCTGTTTTATTGGTTTGAGTTCGACTCGTTTTCTGTGTCTGTTTTCTTTTATGATTGGTTTTTCGATTTTCAGATTTCCTATCAAGATCTTACTCATAAATCCTATTTCTCATTCGAGGAATAAGAGAATCAGTATAGGCACATATTCTTTGATTGAAAAAACTAAATTATTTTATTGAATAATTAATTTAAATTTTTCATATTTAATTTAGATGATACCTGTTCCACAGTATCCATTATATAGTGCTACATTATCTGAATATGGTGCTTATC